AAAAAAAAAAAAGTATATAAATAAAAAAGTCATAAATTAAATAAATAAAACTGAGTATTCTTGGGGCCTCAACTATTGTTTATATGTCATGTTGTCCAGCAGTGTTGAAAGATAAATTTTCAACAATTGGGTTTCTCAATTTGCTGTTAGCTTTGTTTTTGAATGAATGAGAAGAAGGCTTGCTTGACACGGAAAAAGAAAGAAAAAATAAATAAATTGTCTGAAGAATAATCTGTTAAGGGGTAATTTTGTCCAAAAAAATGTCCTCAGACAATCACTTAAACGGATATCAGTTAAAAATAAATTAAAAAAAGTCATAAATTAAATAAATAAAACTGAGTATTCTTGGGGCCTCAACTATTGTTTATATGTCATGTTGTCCAGCAGTGTTGAAAGATAAGTTTTCAACAATTGGGTTTCTCAATTTGCTGTTAGCTTTGTTTTTGAATGAATGAGAAGAAGGCTTGCTTGACGCGGAAAAAGAAAGAAAAAATAAATAAATTGTCTGAAGAATAATCTGTTAAGGGGTAATTTTGTCCAAAAAAATGTCCTCAGACAATCACTTAAACGGATATCAGTTAAAAATACCACCTTGGGATAGTTGAGGGGGATTTTTTACCAAAAATATTCATTTTTTTGCAATTCGCCCTATTTTTTTTATTTTCCTTCCCTTTCCTTTTATTTATTTTTTATCCTTATAGTTAGCTGAAAATTCAATAACCCAATTTCTTAATACCACCCACACACACACACACACACGCACATTATATATATATATATATATATATATATTATCACTATTAAAATCACAAATACAAGCCATTTCAAGGAAGGAGAGCATCTAACAGCCACTAGAGCCAAATGCTCCACTCAAATCGCCACATTCGGCTAAAAGAGTTTTCTTGCTCAAAATATGAGCTACAACATTTCCTCGACGAGAAACCCAAGAAAGGGAAGAACCCTCACAGACCTTAAGAAGAGATTTAATATCATTAAAAATAACCATTAAGGCTTCAATAGATGCATGAAAGTTCATAACTGGTTGGCAATCGCCCTCTACAATCACATCTTTATACCCCCAGTTTTTAACAAGAAGTAAAGATTCATGAACTATAAGTCCTTCAGCTAGAGGAAGGCAACTAACATTCTCAAGAAAAATTGAAGCCACCTTAATGGGTTGTCCGAGGTGGTTTCTGAGAATCATACCTTCCCCACAAGTCTTTTTAACCGAACTGAAGGCCACATTAAAGTTAAGTTTGAAATATCCATCCACCGGTGCCGTCCAAAGCTGAGGCAAAAAAATAGAAGGAGAGGATGGAGGTGACAACAGTTGATTCTGCCGACAAATCTCTTGGAACTCAATATCCGAAAAAATAAATAAATAAATAAATTCCCTTGGAACTCTTGAATAGCAATATGAGCTTTTTGAGCAGCTTCAAAAGGATGCCATCGTTTTTGCTTAAAAATGAGATAATTTCTGCATTTCCAAATGGTCCAACAGAGAAATGCTGCTAAGCTTAAACAATCATCCGGAGCCTCAGTTAAGTTCTAATTCGAACAAAGATCCAACCACCTTTTTGGCCAAACAGAAGGAAAATCAGCACTGAAATCAATTCTAAACGAGCTAAGTTTCCAAACCATGCAAGCAAAGGGACAGGTGCAGAGAATGTGATCAACCGTCTCAACCTCCGATTCAAAAATGGATAGCAAGACATTTCAAAGACTCCACGTAAGAAAAACAGATTATTTACAGGTATGCGCTCATGAATGCACTGCCATAGGAATAGTTGAATTTTCTTATGAGCGCGAATTTTCCACACCTGTTTCCACAAACCACCGCGGACGGGATTAAAACTACAACCATCAGTAGGAACAAAACGAGGCTTAGAAGAAAAAACAGATAATGCAACATGGTAGGCACTTTTAACCAAGAACTTGCCATCCTTGGAGGGACCCCAAATCTTGCAATCAGCTTCCCCCATTGAACTGAAGGGAATTTGTAATATGATAGACTGATCCCGTAGATTAAAATATTGACAAACTAAATCTAACTTCCACTTTGAGGGGAATGATTAATAAGGTCTGCAACAGAAAAAAATTGGTAGCCAAATTCTTTGAAGTAACAGGGAAGTTTGAAGCGGCAGGAAGCCAGTTGTCCTTCCAATAATTGACCTTGGATCTGTCCCCAATACGCCATCTCATACCTTTTCTAATGATCTCTCTTGCCGAAAGAATGCTCTTCCAGACCCAAGAAGCACTTGATTTGTGAAGAGCATCAACAAAGTTACAATTTTTGAAGTATTTCGATTTGAAGGATTTAAAGAACAAAATATCATCACCGATTTCCATTTGCCATGCAAGTTTTGCAAGAAAGGCCAAATTGAAGGCCTCAACATTCTTGAAACCAAGTCAACCTTCATTCTTGGATTTACAAAGGGTAAACTAGCTGATCCATTTAATTTTATTGGATTTTTCTTCACCACTCCACCAGAAGTTAAGGAGATTTCTACTTTTTACAATTATGCTTTAGAAGTTTAAAACATTGCATAAAGAAGGTTAGGAGAGCCGGGAGAACCGATTTCACCATCACCTCTCTGCCGGCCTTAGACATCAATTGACTTTTAAACAGTTTGGTTTTTGAAGCAACCATATCTGAGATAAAGTTGAGAGTTATGACCTTGGACCTGCCCATAAAGGAAAGCAACCCAAGGTATTTATTGCACCAATCAACATCCTGAAAACTTAAGGTTTGTATCTTTAAGGGTTGAAAGAGAATTAGGAGAAAAATACAAACAAGATTTGTAATTTATTAATTGACCTGTTAAAGCTTCCTAGCAGTTGAGGACAGATTTAATGCACTGCATGTAACGACTCAGGTTTTTATTCAACTCGGTGGGTCAGTGATGAACCAAAGATTGACCCGTTAACGGATCCAGATGCAGAAGTAAGAAACAAGACAATGGTCTCCCAAGGCATAATACACCTCTAAGACCCTTTGATGACCTTCTATAAGGTCACGGAACCCAAATTAATAAAGTGCGGAAGCAACTTGAAAACAAATCCATGGGGATGTACATTATCCTTAGGACACAAAAATGGAATTTTGAAGAGATTCGAGGCTCAACAGAAACAAAATGAAGACAAGCATATCAAAATCCTACCGAAAAGAGGACCAAGGGTAAAATGGTCATTTTACCCAATGAGGAACGAATTTAACTGTCAACAAGTCAAATTTGATCAAAAACATCTAAAAACATTCTTTGGTAACTTCACATGAAGACCTAAAGCCAAAGGAACTGAAATCCCAGTTGAACCCTATCTCGGTTCGAACCAAATCCGACATTCTCTCACTAAAACAAGGATATCTTGAGATAGGAAAATAATTTGAAGCTGAAATTGGTACCATTGGAAAGCTTACTTCGACGCGGTCAGTTTAGACTAAAAAACGGACCAATTCTGAGTTGAAACGAAGAAGTTACATTAGATTGAAGTTGGAAGTCCAAAACTGAAAACTCTGGAAGACTTGAATCGGTTCAACATTCTTGAACCGGTTCAACATTGGCAGTACGCCCAAACTGAACCAAAATGACACCTTGAACCAGTTCAACTTGACCAGAGTTGAACTTAAACAGCAGAAACAGTATTTTAGCAGAAAAATGAGTTTGGAGCGCGATTTTCGAGGTCAATATGACATTTTTCAAAAAAATATTGTGAAGAAACTCCCCTTAAAATCACATTTTCTATGTGACAAAGTCAAGAACGGAATTTATTTCTTAAAAGAAATCCCCAAAATGCCCTTGGGCCGAGTTTTTCAATAAAAAGGTGAAATGAGTCCATAGGAGGCTCAAAATACAAACAAAAGGGTTTTTCATGGAAAAGATCATTCACGCAAACGTAAATGATGATTTTGAGTGAACAAAAATGGTCCGCGACTCCCGAAAATGGCCGAGTCAAAATTCGACCCCCCAACGACCAAAAAGGCAAAAATTAACTTGAAATGAGAAAAGTGAAAACCAAAATTAGGAAATGGTTTCAAATGACCATTTGGCCCTTGGCCACACTTCATACATGATTAATGAGACCCTATGAAAGAATGAAAATGAAATTCTCACACCCGATGCAACCATGGTGGACAAATACTTGACATTTTTTAATATTTTCATAATATTTCATAAAGTTAAAAGTTACATAGGATACAAGGTACGTGTCATTGGCCTTCGGCCTTATCTTATATATGTTGAATACAATGAAAAGGGTGTACTTATGTACACATTACATAAATAGAATCAAATATACACATTTTGTCAAAGAAAGCTACAAAAGGCATTTCATGCTAACATTTGCATGAAATGGAAACTTCAAAGTTACAAGTCATCCACGGAATAATCGACAAGCATCACGAACCAAGTCTTCGTACCTGAACAAATCTCCCAGTAACTTCGGGGTGAGTAAACAAGTTTACTCGTAGAGAATGAGCATGCATCGACTCAATTTTTTTAAAGATTTTTAGACTAACATGAATCAGTTCAAAAGGGTCATGCCACCTAACGTCTATGTCAAATGTTAGATTCAGAGAGCATCCTAAGCTACCATAGAGTATAGACAATAAGAATCATGATATACATACACATGTGAAACAAGTCAAGATTGGATAATCCAAGGAATCACAAGAAGTTTATAAGTTAACATGAATTACATTATCAATGTAATTAAACAGGGTTTGGAACAATCCATACAACACGACAAGAAAGATACTTGAAAATAGATTAACATGAATTGCATTATTAATACAATTAAGTGAGATTGGAACATACCAATTAACACGACAAGAAGTATACTTGGATATAAGTTGACAAGAACTCCATTATCAATACAATTAACATGATTGAAGCATTCCAATTAACACGATAGAAGTAACACACTAAATCAAGAACAAGACATAATATTTATGCGATTAAACAAGGATGGAACATTCCATGAAACACGAAAAGAGTTATACATGAATCAAGAACAAGACATAATATCTATGTAATTATACAAGGATGGAACATTTCCTATAACACGAAAAAAAATTAAATGTTCAAGGAATGCAACACTTGAAATCTAAAGAGTGAAATTAAACAATGTGGAAACTTGGATATCGCCCGGATTAAAACCGTACTCTTGGAATCACTTTAGGGTTATCAACCCAAGGGTACCTTCCCCTAGTGTTGGGATCACTTTAGGGTTATCAACCCAATGGTACCTTCCCTTATTCTTGGGATCACTTTAGGGCTATCAACCCAAGGGTACCTTCCCCTGTACTAGAACCAAGTCCTAGCCATGACTATTCTTGATTGATATCTCAAGTCCCAAAATCAACAAGTTGTGTAAGTCAAGATTGTATTAAAATACAAGAAATGCATTAACCACATTTCATGCACAACCAAGATTTTGGAACACACAAGTCATGTCCTATGTTCATCAATTATAATGGCATGTAACATGTCAAGAAAACATAGTATGCATCTATATAGATTAGAACCAAAATATATAGCATAAGAAATCCATTGAAGTACATATACCACAAGTATAAGACACGTGATTCAATTACTTATTTAACAACACATGAGTAACTTAAATCATTATACGACAACCATGCTAGTTCATTAACTACCTTAATGAGATCAAGATACAAGGAGTCTAGGTACATGATGAAAAGCTAAAAACTCATGAAATACAAGTCCAACATCAATTTACAAGTTCATTTCATACGAGACACGACCATGTGATTTAAATTCCATACAAAAAAAATAAGCAAATGTAAGTCTCAAAACTTATCAGATTATTCTCAATTGATACATGTGAAGGAACTTGTCAAGAAAAGCATGAATTCCAAGTTAGAAACTTAATCAAGACCAAGAAGCTATTGAATGGATTTTAATTATTTCATTTAATTAAAATCTTTAGGTTTTGAAATTCATCTAAATGATCTCAAATTAATATATGTTATACAACATGTCAAGACTTGATTTACTAACACGATACAAGTGATTTTCATGCAATGTATGGTCAAGAGTATTAAACTTTAATACTAGAAAAATAATAATTGAAAGGTTTCAAAACCTAATCAAATATTCTAGATTTAATATATGTGAAACTAAATGGCATGCATACCAAGATTATCAAGTCGGAAATCCAATGGAGTGAATAATACACTCGGAATAAATTAATTGATCAAATTAATCATTTGTCTTTAGATTTTAAACATCATCAAATACTCTCAAATTCACATATGCTGAAGAGTATGCTAGGGCCTAATTTAATATGCTAACACACATCGATTTCAAGCTAGTTAAGGCCACATGAATTAAATATTTATTCAAGATAAATATTAAATAAAATCTTTATTCCTTGTCCAAATGCTCTAAATTTAATATATGTCAATGACCATATCAAGGGATAATTTAATATCATGCTACATGTTTAAACAAAGATACAAGCAACCGGGAAAATTAAATCTTATACAAAGAAATAATTAATTAAAAATTCTAGATTTGACATCCAAGCATGTAAACAAGTAGTACAAGCATCCATAACATGTAATATAACAAGAATATAAACTATAACACCCCATACCTTGATTTGAGATGAAAACCTCAAAGGCCCACCGAAATAAAAGTGTTCCGAATCCGACGATACCGAAGGGTTTTGTCGGGGACAATACGGTGAACAAGAATCCCCAAGAAGCCCCATGAAAATTCAAAATTGAACTTGAAACCCAAACTCAAATGTGGTCAGAAATGGATTCCAATAAGGGTGAAAGGTGCGCGTCGTTAAGACAAGCATTAAACATTAAGGCCGAAAAGTTTTCACTCGAGGGAAGTGGCCGAAAAAAGAAGAAGAAGCATGGCAGCCCCTTGACAGCCATGGCTGCCGGCCAAGAGAGAGGAGAGAGAGAAGAAAATCTGACTCTTCTTCTTTAGACCCCCTATTTATAGAAAATCTCAAAAAGTGCCCTGAAAGGGCCCCGCCGGGTCTGGAAAAGTGGATTTTGAGCAAATGCACTCAAACAGCAAAACTCTATAAACAAAAAAGATTCTAAATGAGAAAGCATGAACAACGGAAGAAACGGCGTCAAAAATTGAGTACCGAGCAGAGAGATATGCCCCGAACAAGTTTGGCGGCAACCGGGGTCAAAAACTCTGAAACTGGAGAAAAATGACCAAAACGGAATTCTAAGAGTACACGACTCGACAAAATGTGAAAATGAATCCCGTACGAGGATTCAGGCTCCAGACGAGATATTTTTGCAATAACTTTCGTTAATTGCACAATGGCCCCTCCAAAAAGGGTTAACTGCACTAATGCCCCAGAATGAAAATATCTTTCAAAAATATTTTCTTAGATACCCCTGAAATAAAATATCTTCAAAAGATATTTATGAAAAACACCCCAAGAAAAGAAAATAATTCCAAAGAACTATGCATCCATGCCCCTGTGGACACCGGGAGCAACCAGAATACTTTCTCGCAAAAGTAAGGATACGTATTTCGAGGAAACCACTGAAGATGAAGGTACGTGAAGTCAAAAACTAACTCCGAGCATGAAAAATGAGGTTTTGTCAAATAAGTGACAAACGGAGATAAGACAGAATAGGGAAAAGGACGAAATAGCGCATAATGTCTGAAAAGTGAAAATGCAGAAATGACTCGATTTTCAAAGGAAGTTGTCAATCCACGGAAAAGAGTCTCAGAAATCATTTCCAAGCACTCGAGATGACACTAAGCGACAAGAAACAGAATTCAAAAAGGAAAATTAAACGAAAAAAATTCATTCGTAAAATTTCAGGAAAAAGGAAAGGGAGGTAAATGACCGGGTCGTTACACTGCACTTCAAAAGAATTTGCAGCTCTACAGAAAAGTAAGGCGTCATCGGCGAATAGTAAGTGAGAAATTTGATGGCAACCCTGACCCATTTTCAGCCCCAAAATTTTTTTCCTTCTCGAACATTTATGAAATAGCAGGGATAAACCTTCAGTACAAAAAAGGAACAAGTATGGTCAAATGGGATCTCCTTGTTGCAGGCTTCTGAAAGGAGTAAAACAATCTCCTTTTTCTCCATTTAATAGCACAGAGTATGAAATAGTGCTAATGCATTCCATAATTAAATTAACCCATCTTTGATGAAACCCCAACAAACTTATGAACTTGCACAGAAAAGACCAGTTCATTCTATTATAAGCCTTTGCCATATCCAATTTGACAGCTATGTAACAAGAATCACCATGTTTTTTCAATTTGAGAACATGTAAAAGGTCATGAGCAATCAAAATGTTATCACGAATTAGGTGTTAGGGACAAAAGCGCTCTGGGATTCGCTAATAAGGAGAGGAAAAAAAGGTTTGTGTCTATTTGTAAGGGCTTTCGAAAAAATCTTATATGCCAGATTGCATAGTGCAATTGGTCTAAAATTCATGATTAAAGTAGGGTGAGAAACTTTTGGGATCAGAACCAGGTTGGTGGAGTTTAGACAAGTGGTAAATTGAAACCTTTAGCCAGATCCATCTTTAGCACATCCTATTTAGTCTGAAAAAACAAAGGAGTAAACCCGTCCGGGCCTAAGGCTTTATAAGGCCTCATGCTTACCACTGCAAACAAAGTTCATCACTGGTCCCCTCGCGCAGCAGCTCGCGGTTCATTGTTGAAGTCACCTTGGGCGCCACCAAATTCCAAAAAGTTAAATCATCCAAACATGGAAAGGCAGCAAAAAGATTTTGGAAATAGCCTTCATCAACCTTGCGGATATCATCTTTGGAATCCTTACCACATCGATCCTCAATCCCAAATATCTTATTTTTCTTTCTACGAATTTGTGTTTTTTTGTATTCGTGTCCCCAATGATTCAACCATCCAATCTGTGATTTTTGCAGCAAAAAAAGCTCTTCTTCTCTCCAAGCGTTGCCCAACTTTTGTTCCAACTGAAAGCATAGACCTTTGTCAAAATCAGCCTCTTGTTCTTTAAGAGGTTTCAGCATCTACTCAAGATTATTTATCTTAACCTTAGCATTATTGCATTTTCCTCTTCGCCAATATTAAAGATTGGCCTTGCATTGAGTTAATTTGTGCTGGATGCACTAAAGTGGAAGGAAGGAAAGATTGACCTTGCACTGAGTTAATTTGTGCTGGATGCACTAAAGTGGAGGGAAGGAAAATGGACATCTCATGACTTTGTGATTCATCAAAATGAAAAGATCTTCGAATATGAGAGAGAGAGTCATTCAGGCAGGGGGAAAACTAAGACCATTCAAGAGTATAAAGGGCTCCTGAGTCTAGTAAGAATGAGTTTACTTAATACCCTTTTGTTTTGCCAGGTGGAAGGAAACCCCTTAAAGGGGAGATTATATTCAAGCTTTATTAAAACAAAAGTTCTGATCAAGACCCCGGCGGACTCGATCCACCATCCTATCAAATCAAAAGATAATAAAATGTTAAGATAAAACAAGACCCGGGTGGACTCGAACCACCATCCTCTCAAATCAAAAGCAGATCTGAGCGCTCTTACCAACCAATCTTGAGCTAACGGACCTACAAGCCAATCATCCAAAAGAAATAAAAATTTATCCCCTAAAAAAAATTGTTCACAATTGGACAAATATATAAAATATTCCCCCTAATATCATTTTACATGACTTCTCCACCAACCAATAGACCAGGGGTCTAAAAAGCCAGTTTAAACCATCAAACCGTACCAAACATAAAGGTTTAGTTTTTCTTTATTTTTCCACAATTAGGCTAGGTATAAAGTTCGACAAGAAACCGTTTTATAAATTATATATTTTTTATTTCATAAATAATAATATAAACCATTTAAGCACTCTATATATATCTTAATATATAATAAAACATTATTTTATTATATGTATAATATGTATGTATATATATATATCAGAATGAATTGTACAAAGGTCTAGAATAGTGAAATTTGATTTGCTTATTTGGTGATCTAAAAATAAATATCAAACAATAGTAAAAGACTATCATATGTCCAATAACAAAAAAAAAATTGAAATTCTTGTCTAAAAATAATCTATCTAAATATGTTTCACAAGTAAAAGCTATATTTCAAACTTAAAATCCATAAATTTGTTTAATAAACATAAAATCCATTAATTATTTTAAGATGGGAACTTCGACATTTGATTGTATGAGTTTTTTGATTTGCCATCATGCATTACTACCTATGGTTTATATGTCGGTTATATATATAATTAATTCCGCCAAATTAAATATCGTGATATCAATTCACTAGCTCCTATTATCTTCATTATCTACTATATCAATTCAGACAATCTTGATCGCCATAAACAAGCCTTCCCTCTATATATTCTTATACTTGAACGTTTCATCCCATTCCATACCTTTTATAATCAAACAAGCAAGCATACATCAATCGTCACTTTAATTGATGTCAATTAAAAACCACACTTGCAATATTTATGGATAGAACAATGAATCCTTATAAGAAAGTTTATAAATTTATAAGTCGATTTGATTTAGGAGATTATATATATGTCTCATTTGTCACTTTAAAACTATAGCATTGATATTGTATATAAATAGTAAATAAATTGAAAATATAACCGAGAGAATAGGGAATTGACTTTACTACAAATTGAAAATATAATAGAAAGAATGCTAGGAAATGGACTTCTCAACACAAACCTCACAAATATGGCTAATTACAATTATAACCATGATATTAGAAATGCATGATAACTACAATACCCAAAATTATGATAAATGCACATTGCACATGTAATCAAAACTAAGCATAATAATAATAATCATAATGCATACCAAGTACATATAAGATATACTATATATCACAAACAATTTTGCTATCACCTCGATTGATCATATAAAAAGCTTGTCATGCCCAACAATAGGAAGAGTCAAGACAGATCCAACTATTTGTTCAACAGCTCCACCATTTGATCCCACAGCTAAACACTTGCAGAGCTTTGCTTGTGTCTCACAAGCAGGCAGCTCAATAATAAACTGCTCTCTTCACAAAAATCAGCTTTCAGGCAGGCAAACTAACCAGAAAACGACCAGAATAACCCACATTTTCTTACATACATATACTAAGAATGAAAAACCATAAAACATACAATACAAGAACTTAAAAATATAATCCAAATCAGTTCTCTATCAAAAATATACCTCGCAATAAAACAAACATTGAGAACTGTAAATTTTATGATGGCCAAAGGAATATAACAAATGGAGACTTAACTGGAATGAATTAACACAAAGGATTGGCATGAATAACAGTTGTACCAATGCAATTGTAGTCGTTGCAAGTCTGATGACAATCTCTGATGAGTTTCTTTGACAACTCTGGGTGTTTTAAAGAAAGGATTGGCATATCCACCAAATTCATGAATAAAGTGAGGTTGAGGTAGAATTTCCACGTTCCTCAGCTCTTCAACTCCACCTTCACCACGACCGGACAGCTGCAAGCATTTGTCATCTCCAAGAAGCCAAAAAAAAAAAAAAAAAACCGTACAAGCCAAAGCAAACTTTTTCTTACATATAAAGACAACGATACACCCTAAATACAAGAACTGGATTACACTTTCTGACAATTTACTACTCAAATCAGTTCTTATATAGTTCACCATTGCACAAGATCGTAAAACTGAGAACAAATTTGAAGCTTCCCGTAATGATAGCCAAGAAAAATAACAAATGGAGACATAACCGGCATGAATAAACGGAAAGCATTGGCAGGAAATAACAATTGTACCATGCACGTATTGGATGCACCCAAAGTTTGAAGATTTTGACAATTTCAGCTTTAAGTTTATGCATCAGCCAGCATATTAGCAAATGAATATATAGATAGTAAACCATACAAAATCGTGCAGTCCATTTTGTTGTGTCCCTTCGTTACTTCATTTGTTTGGAGCTAATTTTGTATTAGAATACATTTCGGAGACTACTAACTATTTTATATAAAATTAACATATTACAAATATTTTGAAATTGATCACAAAATTTATAAGTGGAAGCCTATTGAAACCAAATATGTTTGATTTACCATCAACTAGTTCATATAAAACTCCGACATAGCTCAAAATATTTCATAATGGATGTATGATGATTAACACAGTTAAGGACTTGGATGTATATCAATTAAGTAGCTTATTCAAAAATTTAATTTTTGGGAAAATGTGATAACACTAATCTAAATGGTTGTGTCGAAAAAACAGTTTTGTCATTTATATACAAAGTACGTGTCCAGTCATATGATTCATAATTAATGATAAGAGTGTCTAATGATTAATAATTAATGAAAAATTAAAGCTCTTTTCTTTCAGTAGGTTGAATTAAAGCTTGTACCTGAAGATGTATCGTTGCTTTGGCATGATCTGTTGCTATTGTTGCTCGTAATTGCTTTGCGTACGAGATTGAGATACCAGGAGCCAAAAGGAGGAAAGAAGATGGGAGAAGAAACACAAAAACACACACAACACACAGTGGAGGAGACCCCGGGCAAAATCCCGGTGCGACCTCCCCCGAAACCAAAAAATGAATATTTTTATTAGGGTAAGGTTGACCTGCCATGCAAGCGCACCTGTCATGGCAAAGGTCGGTGGATCACACAACATCAATGAATCAATCCTGAGCCATCCTTCCTGATGCCTTTACATCATCCAAACACAAAACCAGCTATCCCATCATCATACACTTGATATGATTAGTCTTCAGCTTACGCATCTATACGACTTAGCAACCTTGAATTCACAATCATTCGGAACTCCAAGCCACCATAGATAGACGCCCACAAACAGCCATATGTATAGGTCTTCGTGTTACACTCATCATGTGGTGGTTTCTTGAGAATTCAGACAAATAAATCAAAAACGCCATATCTATCCCTGTAAAAACCGAATAGAAATACCAAGAAAAAGAACACAAACAGTAAAATTAAAATAGCAAGATCCGTCCATTTGACGGAAACTCACCCAAAATTAAAAGGGAATTATACCAGAAAAGAAGGATAAAAAAGGTACGACAATATATATATATATATATATATCAGATCTACAGGAAAAAAGTCAAAATCATGTGATTTTCTAGTAAATATATATATATAAATTGTAAAACTAACAAAACTAACAACAGATCTCCATAAAAAAAGACAATAGATCATATAATTTTCGCAATCAATACCTTGTAACAGATCTACAAATATTTTAAAATCATATCGCAAATTTAACAATGGATCTACCGGGAAGAAGTAAAAAACGAATCATATATATATATATATATATATATAACCATATTGAATTGCCGATTTTTTAAATTCATGTCTCAAAAAATTTTTGAACAAAATATCAAAATTGAATAACCGAAATATTAAGATTACGAAAATCAATACCTTGTAACAGATCTACAACGTCGCCTAAACCACAAATTGAGAAGCCCGACATGATCATTCCAAGATAAAAAAGAGAATAGACAACGCCTAGATGTATAATGATAATGTGAGGAAAGGCCTTTTTATAGAACGTTTGGAACTATTGGACGGATGAGATTGATCATGTAGAAATAGATCGATGGATGAGATATAATCAAATTGAGTGTGTCGGTCGGTTCCCACGATTTTTGGTTGAGGCGGTTCGGTATGAGGTGGCAACTTTTGTTTGACAAATGGGTGGTCGACACGTGGTCGAGCGTTGTCCATTCAAAATGGGACATTTTCAACGTTAGCGTGGCCTCGTTGAACACGCCACCTGCAAGTTGCCGATGTGTTGGCATCTCTATCTTTTGCTGTTTGTTTCTCGGAATTATTCCACTCCTGGTCCGGATTATGAGCCTCTTCTTTTTTTGTCTTCCTATGGTGTTCGTGTTAAATACCGACACGTTTTTAGATGAAGGAGCGAATTGTGTCCGTGTTAGATATCAAGAATCATCGTACACATGTTTGACATTTCATATACCTAAATAAAATTTTATTATTTTAAATAATTTTTTAACACTTCTTGTATAATTAGGCCCATGCTTTCAAACATATCTAATATCTGATTATCTTAAAATAATAAAAACATATTATAAAGTGTTCAGTTTAATTTAATTTAATTTTTTTACATTATACATGCATTAAATTATATTTATTTATTTAAAATAAAAATATTATTACGACAAAGTAGTGAAATAATTATATATATTTTTATATAAAAATAAAAGAGTATTAGGGGCACAAAAAAGTTTAACCATCAAACCGGACAAAACATAAGGGTTTAGTTTCTTTGATTTTTTTCACAATTAGGTTAGGTTTAAAGTTCTACAAGAAACCAATTTATAAATTATATATATTTTATTATATAAATAATAAAACAATAATATTAACATTTTAACCACTCAATATATATCATAATATATAATAAAAACTATATATATATATATATATATATATATAATGTATATGTTCAATTATATATATTTTTTATATATATTAGAATGAATTATACAAAAGTCTAAAACAGTGAAAAACGATTTGGTGATCTAAAAATAAATATCAAACAATAATAAAAGAAAAAAAAAATCAGATTATGTCACATTTACATTAACAAAAACAAAAAAAAAAAAAAATGAATTGCTTTTCTAAAAAAATTCTCTATCTGATTATGTTTCACAAGTAAAGCTCTTTCCAAGAGAAAATTTATAAATCATGATTAAGGGAACATTTGGCTTTTGATTGTGTGAATTTTTTGAAGATATTATAGTTATTATGCATTTCTAGGAATCTTATACATATAATCAGTTCCCTCAAATTAAATGCAATTAGCCATATGAAGTTTGTGGTGAAATCAATTCCTTAGCTTCTCTTTCACTATTTTTATGCAAATTTTAATCTCCTAAATCAAACCTGAAGTATTCTTACAATCTTGATAGCCCTAAACAAGCAATTCTTGTGATTCAATACCCTCTATATATTCTTATCCTATACGTCCTCTTCCGAGTAGTTTATAATTAACAAATCTAAGCACACGTTAATTGTCTTTTTAATTGTTGTCAATTATAAACCATTCACTCGCAATAGTACGAATGAGGATAGAATAATAAATCCTCGCAGGATAGTCGAACCACAAGAATTATTAGTTTATGACTAGTTTATGGCTATCAGTAGGATTGATTTAGGAGATGATTTATTATTTGTTTGATTTATTTATCACTTTAAAACTATAGAATTGAAAATACAATAGAGAGAATAAGGAATTGATTTCAATACAAATTGAAAAGATAATAGAAAGAAGGTTAGGGAATTGACCTTACTACAAACCTCACAAATACGGCTAATTGTATTTAATTTGGGGAAACTAATTATAACCATGGTACGTAGAACTGCATGATAACTACAATATTTAAAATAAAAAAAAATTCATACAATCAAAAGTTGAGAATAACTCATCTGCCTAAGCTAGGTTGTAGTATGACCTGTCTAGGCATGCTTATCAAATCCCCATAATTGTATGATAAATGCACATGTAATCAAGACTAAGCATAATAAAAATCATAATGCATACCAAGATATGTAAATACCAAAAACAATTTTGCTATCACCTCGACTTTTTGTTAAACTACTTTCTTAAACATTTACAGTTGTTTATTACACCAAAAAAAGGTTTTGTGAAAAAATGTTTCACATTAGCTCAGCACAATAATCCAAGAGAATTTGGTGGGCTTTATGTAGTACGAGTCATTATGTGGTGGCAAATTTGTAGTCTTTGTCCAATGAAGAATTCAGTAATGTATGTTCCACAATAGCAAAATCAAAAAGAGTTCACCGTTACAACAAGAAAATAGAGAGTGGAAAACACTTTGTTCTAGTTCATGGGTCTTGCCATGGAGCATGGTGCCAGTACAAGCTTGTCACCCTGCTCAAATCTGCCGGTCACCGGGTTACAGCTTTGGACTTTAGTGTGGTCAGAAGATATATGCTTCAAATGATATCACTGACCTTTTACTCATATGCCGTGAGATATTTAATAATATATTAAAAATAATTAATTAAATATTCAACTCGATATTTAATTAAAATGCAAATTAAAGTAATAAAATAATAATAATAAATAAAGAACTTGGATCGAGGCTAGTATTTGATATTATGTCCTTAAGACAGATTTGTCCCGCTATGGTGCTAATAGATTCAGTGGCGTCTATCTCTCAGGGTACAACGGTCTACATTCACCAGTAGCAACACTACAAACTCGTGGATATGGCGAACCTCCTCCATATAATACTCTCTCTGACTCAAAAATACATTTATACTATCTAAATGCTAAATTGGATGCAATCCGAACCAAATGATTCGGACCAATTTTAATATGGTTCGATGAAATTGGATTAGGGTCTAAGTGGCTCGAACCACTTGACCTATGGTTTGAACCCACTTGGGTTGGGTTCAAGTCTAGAGAGGGAGAGAAAAAATTGAATTGAACAAATTACAACTGGCAACCTAAGGGAGTATTTATAGAAATAGCAGTGCCTTTTCGGATTGGATGTGTCTCTTTATCATTGGACACAACCATTTATATGTGTCTTTTCATTACTAGACACAACAATTTATATGTGACTCTTCATCATTGGACACAACCATTTATATGTGTCTCTTCATCATCGGACACAACCACTCTAATTGGTTACAATGGTTCACATGGTGTCTGTTCACCACTAGACACATTCACTCCAATAGATTGCAATGGTTCACATCGTGTCTGTTCACCATTAGACACATCCACTCCAATAGGTTATGTCTGTTCGTTTTAATTTGCATCTTTTCAGTACATAACCAACCAGTAATGATACATGTTTAGTCAAAGATATCGATGACTAATCAAACAATTTTCATTCACAATTTCTAACAATTGCCACCATATCTGACTACATGCAACCATTGATGGACTTCATGGCATCCCTGCCTGGTGGACCGGTGGTGAGAGGGTGGTCCTAGTTGGGCTCAGTTATATATAGCGGCTTTTGCATTTTCTCTAACCATGGAAAGCTTCTCTGAGAAGATCTTTGTTGCAGTTTCATCACAGCCTTCATGCCGAATCAAAGAGATCCACCAGCCACCTCTTTTCAAGAAGTAAGAAAATCTTGATTAGGCCTAGTTCAAATTTCCAATTTTGAATGTCTCATGGAATAATGAAACAAACCTATAGTATTTAGAACCGGCAGCTTAGATTTAGAATTAATTAGAGAAATTTTAGTTAAAAAGTTGAACTAAATTTTTTTTAAAAAAATTGGTCATCCCTCATTTTCAAAGACCTTGGGGATTGTTTCCATCCTAAAATAAAATTTAAAATTGCTTGGCAAATTCAGTAAAATCAGAGTGAAAATGTCGAGTGTTGGTGAGGTACCGAACCTTAGAGGGTTCGAATTCAATGGTCGACTAAGAGTAATATTAGGCCCCTATTCTAAAATAGCTGTTACTAATAGTTTAATTCATGGCAGAAGGTGCTAAAGAGAAGAGTATACACAAGAAGTTGCATTTGAATTGTATTTGAATTCAAATTTAGCAGTTGATTACAACCGCAACATAACCGCCCTCAACTAATCTTGGAAATAACTATAAAAGGTGTTGAAGAAGACTTTGCAAATGGCTTTAACTAAAAAAAAAAAAAAAAATTTGCAAATGGTCCCCAACCAAAATAACACATTTCTTTACAATGTAGCTTTTATATCTCATGCACTTTACTACTTACATTAGGTACTGTTTTAGATTGTACCTTTCGTCAACTGTTAAATTTGGTTGGTCTTTTCGTCAGTCTATCATTATTTTTATTACAAATGTGCGTTAACACACATAAATATAAACAATATAAATGAAATTTGGAATAGATTATGATTTAATATTTTTCATTATTTGAGCAAAATTAATCAAGTAAGGAACCATTGTTAAACAGTATATCAACTTTATATCCTATAATTAGGAACTTTAGTTGTCAATTTTGCTTCCTAATTTTTTTTCTTTCTATTTTTGCTCTAAAAAGTATGCTGGAGGGACTCCACTCAAAGCCTGGATGGACACACAGTTTGCAGCATTTGGTGACCCCAATGAACCTCTAATATCATTGGCTGTAGGCCCCAAGTTCATGAAATCCACCCTCTATCATCTCTGCTCTATTGAGGTAAGCCCCTCACCTCACACTCTCTCTCTCTCTCTCTCTCTCTCTCTCTCACACACACACACACACACACAAAGTAAACACAAGTACATGCTACAACAAATTTGGTCTTGGGTACAAATCGGACAATTAGTCCAGATATAAGTGTTTGAATCTTGCTAAGGGCAATGTTAGAGTTGTGTGCCTTTAAATTTTGGAAATTTTTTTGTTTTTGGCGGAAATGAAAAATGCTGCTAAATGTCTAAAAAATATTCCACCAAAGCCTATAGCGTCAGCTCTCAGAAAGCAGCCAAAGCATGGTGACCCCACAACGCTGTCCTGAAGTGCATGAGTTGAACCATGTAGTCGGTATTAATACTAATGTATCATTAAAATATTTGATATTTGATGGAAGAACGGGTAAATATTTGATATTTGACAATTCAACAATTAAAGAACACTTGTCTCTCTAAGTCACTGGTAAACTTCTTAATTCAATCCACACTCTCAATGGTAGTAAGGAGAATACACAACTCTCAAGGTAATGTTGAGAGATACACAAACTCACTCAACATATATTGTAGTGATGGGGCTCATAAATGTCATGTACTGGTACTGAATCCCAAACCCGGGCTCATGATAAAAGGAAAGAGAAAACGAACTGTATGAACACAAATATTCTTTAGACATAAACTATTTCTCTCCATTTCTCTCATTTAATAATGGAGTGTGAAAAATAAAACTCAATTATATTCTAACTATGGTTTATTAACATTTGGTGTGGATGAAATTAGCATTCACAAGCATTAGGCAATTCTGTCAAAAATTTCTTAGGGATCTCCCATGGATCCCCTTCAAAGTTAATAGCTACAAGTTTGGTTACACTTTAAAAATGGAACGATTTTTTAATGTAAATTAGACTTCAAAAGATTCAATTCGAAGTCAAATTTCACCCAATTTGGATTTTAAATGAGTAAGTTGTCATTTTTCAAAGTTGGGTCAGTGTTGCTGAATTAATTAACAGCACTTTCAGACTGCAGATCAGTCCTGTTCGAAATTCAAATTCTCTCAAAGCACCAAAGCATTTACCATGAAACTTTCCAGATCAATTCTACCATGAATCTAATTTCAAACCCCACTAGAATAATGCAAAAACTCAATGTACAACTCGAGTTATGATACAATTAAGACACACATGTCAGATTCTGCACCCTGATATATTAAACTAAAGCTAAGACGAACCTTTCTAATCATTAAAGTTTCAAAAAATTATTCAAAATATTAAGGGAGTTATGAGGCTCACAACTGGACTGTACTACAGGAGGTCTTTCTAAAATGCTAAAAACAAGCTTATTAAGGGAGTTATGAGCCTCACAATTCAAGTGAGAATATATATATTTTTTTCGATAATTATAATAATTTCATATTATATATAACATATGCCCATTTGTTGGTCAAAACATTCATCCAAAACATACATCATTCCCACCCAAAACAATCCTTGCCGGCCTGACCTGTGAACTTCAAACAAAGCAGTCAAATATCCGACCAGCTACCCTTCGGCCCGACCTGTCAACACAACAGGCTGTGCTTCCAAAACAGTAGTCGTCTTAAGAACTATCCCTGCCGGGATAGCGTCAGCGACGGCTGCGACATTGTTGCCGGCGTCGGCTGCGACTTTGTCGGCGACTGCGTCTGCGGCGGTGAGGCGGCGGCATCCATCTCCTAAAACATTTTAAACAAAATGAATGTAAAACCTCCCGATATAAATATATATTTATGTGAAGTGCTATATGTAGGTTCTACACCCTTCTATGACATAATGCGTTTTAAAACCGTAATGGCCGTAAACCTATCAAATCTCCGGAGTTAAGTGGGATGGGTGACCCCCTGAAAAGTCTCTTATTCGGGCGAGTCAAAGGTGAACAATATTATCTCTGGATAAAGAGTGGATTGTTACATTTATTCTAACGATCATCTCATAGGAAGAGGGTTATTACATTCTAACAGTCACCTTATCCAGGATTTCTAGGTAGGGTGGGCTAACATTAAATATGAATACTAATTGGTTTGGACCTTTATTTTAATATGGTGGCTGAGTTTACTTTGGCTTCATTGGGTTTTTTGGGTAGACTAATACTATTAATTTTTTTTTTATTTTTTAGGCTGGGCTAATATATTAGTATAGTAAAAAAAAAAAATTCTATGTCCACATAACATTATCCTACTACAAATAGTCCTCAATACATAAGGTCTCTTTAGATAAAAACAGAATTTGAGTGTTAATCAAATTTGTTTGATCATAATAATATAGTCAGATTAAAATATTTGATATTTGATGGAAGGGCGGGGATCCTTCTGAACAACCTGTTCAATCTCAAACACCTTAAATGTGGGAAAAATAAGAGGTGAGTTAGGAAAACCAGTAAGTAATATTTCAGCAATGAATTTAACAATAAGAGAGATTAATTAATTCTAAATGCATGCTCAAAACATAAATAAAACTAAAATGTCCTTCGCTAGGGCTAACTCTTAGCCTTAATACCAACTAGGACTTCCCTCTAAGGTCATGCACAACAACCAACAATCCAACAATTAAAGAACACTTGTCTCTCTAAGTCACTGTAAACTTCTTAATTCAATCCACACTCTCAATGGTAGTAAGGAGAATACACAACTCTCAAGGTAATGTTGAGAGATACACAAAGCTAAGACCGTATCATAAAAGGTGAGAGACACAAAATGAATAAACAATTGAGTAAAATGTTCAAGTAAGTAGGAGCAAAAAGTAGTAAGATATAACTTTAAAAATAAATAAAATACAAAATTTTTTTGACAGAATAAGTTGAAGAGATGTCCAAGGAATGAGTATACAAACCTCTTTTCCGATTCCACTCGTTTCAGCAAGCTTTCTTCTTCCACAAAGAAGACCTATATATTTGTAAGATTAAATATGAAAAAAAATTAATATATTTTATACTGAACTTGTATAAATTTTTTAACCCAGAATTTTAATTAATAATATAGAAAGAAGAAAGAAATGTTACCTGAGGAGTGAGGAGGCATAGCCCTAAAGCTAAAAACAATTAATGAGCTCAAAATGGGACAAAGATGAGGCCCAACTAACTCCTCATATGGAAGGTAGAGAGATATGAAATAGGTGGGTGAAGGATGTATTCTTAGTGTTTGGCAGATGAGAATGAGAGGATGAGATAATTAAAGAAATAGTTGTTTGGACAATGGCTTTAAAGAGAGAGATTCGTGTAAAGGGCTTAGAGATGATGAGGGGGTGGGTGGGTGAGCCTTTATTTGGACTAAAAGGGAGTAAATGTATAGTCAATTCAACACTGTATAGTCAATTCTGAATGCCTGTCAAAAAAACAGAAAAACAGCAAAAAGTATGTACCGCTCTCAACTGTAGTGATGGGGCTCATAAATGTCATGTATTGAATCCCAAACCAAACGAACTGTATGAACACAATATTCTTTAGACATAAACTATTTCTCTCCATTTTTCTCATTTAAAAATGGAGGGTGAAAAATAAAACTCAATTATATTCTAACTATGGTTTATTAACATTTGGTGTTGAAGAAATTAACATTCACAAGCATTAGGCAATTCTGTCAAAAATTTCTTAGGGATCTCCCATGGATCCCCTTCCTGACCACCTTACCGTCAAAGTTAATAACTACAAGTTTGGTTACACTTCAGAAATGAAACAATTTTTTAATGTAGATTAGACTTCAAAAGATTCAATTCAAAGTCAAATTTCACCCAATTTGGATCTAAAATGAGTAAATAGTCATTTTTCAAAGTTGGGTCAGTGTTGCTGAATTAACAACACTTTCAGACTGCAGATCAGTCCTGTTGGAAATTCAAATTCTCTCAAAGCATTTACCATGAAACTTTTCAGATCAGTTCTACCATGAATCTAATTTCAAACCCCGGTAGAATAATGCAAAAACTCAATGTACAACTCGAGTTATGATACAATTAAGACACAAGTGACAAATTCTGCACCCCTGATATATTGAACTAAAGCTAAGACAGACCTTTCTAATCATTAAAGTTTCAAAAAATTATTCAAAATATTAAGGGAGTTATGAGCCTCACAACTGGACTGTACTACAGGAGGTGTTTCTAAAATGCTAAAAAAAAGCTTAACAATTCAAGTGAGTACCAGTAATTAATCTAAAACCAGTTATGACCAAGGTTAACAAGTTCATTCTTCATACCTGTACAACCAAAATAATTGAATTTATGCGTATATATATTTCAAATGATTTATTCATGTAAAGGGTCATAATAATTCTCACACAAACGGGTTAATACAAGTATTAGCACCCAACATCTCCATGTCCCTTCATGGCTGTTCCAGATTTTTATCTTCAAAATGGTAAGAGGAAGCATCATAGCCCAGTTGGTAGACGTTAAACATACATTTACCAACACTATCAATTAACAAATAAGTATGCCATGCATGATATTTATGCGAAATGCCACAAATAGATGTAATAATGACACATATATTTATGCATACACGTATTAAATGTCATGCTATACAATTATCAGTTCCAATCTTTAAAAGGACATGAATCATGTTCCATATAATCATCTGTGAAGTATAAATCCAATTTCAATTAAAAATTTCCAAACATGAATCACATTTCGTTCAAACAATTTCGGTCAGTGTCCATTTTTCCGTTCACTTGCTCATAGCAAGCCACACAACACAAGGGCTCCGAGCTCTTGTTTTACAAGCTACTAACCCAATGAAATCAAGCATCACATGGCCAAGTTTAAGGTCTCTCACCCTAGGGCACCGGTTCCAGCACAACCCCATCAACCAAACTTTTCGCACCATCAATAAACCAATCATCTCTTACTCAACAGCAATTTATTACCATCATGAATGACTGAATTCTCATCTCAACATTTTTGTCAAACACCATGTGTGTGCAAAATTTAAAAGCATGATATAATTAGCATATATATTTATTCCCAGCAGTTCATGCATTAGAACAAAATGTATCACAGTTTGAACAAGATGATCACAATTACACTACACCTCTGGCACCTAAACAGTACACATAGTGTTAGCATTTATGATACCACGATTTATGGTATAACTTACCATAATAGCCGAGATATGATAGGCCCAAATCATGGGATGTCATTTATCATATTATCTGTGAGTTATGATAGTTACTAATCATGTATTTGACTTTATTTACGCATATGTCTAGGCATATAATATGCAATGATTTGATTTTGTTTCCTTTCTTATAATATGAGCATATGCTCATTTTATCTATAAATACTAGAGTTATGAATGAGTAATTCATCTTATTCAAGTTTTTACGCAATTCTCTCTTTTCTCTTCTTTTTATATTTCTACTTGGTATTAGAGCCAACACCTTTCCACACCTTTCAGCAGCCTTGCTACTTGTGCGACAGCTACCTTAGGCTGTTTGTGACATCGTGTGACGTTGCCTACATATGTTTTTCTGTATTGCTGTTTTGTGATCGAAAACAGGTATTTTTAAGTTTTACAATTTCTTTTTCACTCTTCTAGGGTTGGGTAAATTGGGATAGTTGGTTTCCAACACCTAGAAGGGCTTGGGTAAAAAAAATTAGTTTACAAAGAGATTCCGAATATTAAGAAGGAGGTGGTCTGGCTATATGTAAGTGGGCAATGCTCCTTAAAAAAGGTATGTATTTGGATTTTTTGGGAATGGTCTGAGGAGATATTGTTTATGGTTTCAGGAGCCCATTTGATTTATTAACAGAATTTGTGGTGTTTTTGGAGTTCTTTTTATTGTTGTGTGACAGATTATAGCAGATTCGGGGTCTTCGACTGTTAATTCTCTTGGGTCACGTTCTGTGGGTGGTGATGCCATTTTTCCCACCAACTCATCAGAAAATTCAGGACTTTAAATCACCACAGTGAAGTTGGATGGTTCCAACTATTTGATTTGGGCACAGTCTGCCAAGATGTTCATTGGTGGCAAAGGCAAGATTGGCTATATTACTGATTCTGAGAAAGAACCAGCTGAGTCAGAGAAGGCATATTCACAGTGGTTTGCAGATAACGCTATGGTTATGTCTTGGCTAGTTAATTCGATGCGACCAAACATAGCTGTTGGCTATATGTTTATGAAGACTGCTAAACAGATTTAGGATTCAGTTCAACGCATTTATTCTCAGAGGCAGAATAATGCACGAATTTTCTAGCTGGGGCGAGATATCACCAGGATTTCTCAGGGTGACTTGACAGTTTCAGGTTACATCGCCAAGCTTCGTACTATTTGGGAGGAGATGTCATATTATGATTCCTTCCACTCTTGGAAGGATCCAGATGATGCAGTTTTATATGCAGGAATTGTGGAGAAGAATCGAGTGTTTCAGTTTCTTGACTGGTTGAATGACGAGTTTGAGTATGCTCATGTTTATTTATTGGGCTTATCTTCATTCCCTACTCTTGAGGATGCATATTCCTATGTGTTGTCGGATGAGAGCCGCCGGACTCATCCATTAGGTGTTGATTCTGTTAATCGTTCTGCTATGGCAGTTCGGATTCCTAACCTTTTAGGAACTTTACCATCCCAATCAGTTCAGAGCACTACCACCGGTCCTCCTCTAGGACAACAATGTGGACGGTGTGACCATTGCGGAAAAATTGGTCACATCAAATCTCGTTGTTATGCTCTACATGGACGTCCACCGCAACAAAAATAACAGCCTCGATCCTCTGCACATTCTGTTACACAACCAGTCTCGTTGTCAACTACTGACAACCCTGCCTCTACATCTTCTGCCACAGTTACCTTGACTCAAGCTGATTTGGACAAGTTCAAGTAATTCTTCAACCAAATGGAGGCATCATCTTAGCCAACCTCCACTTATGCCCAGTTAGGTACTATTGCGTCTGCACATAGCGTATCTACATCTTCAACACCATGGATCATTGATTCTGGTGCTTCAGACAATATGACTGGTATGTTCTCACTCTTCCAATCTTATAGTATCAGCTCTGGCCAACGCAAGGTCCGCCTTGCGGATGGCTCTCCATCTTCCATTGCTGGGAAGGGGTTACATATCAGTTACTCCTTCATTAACTTTGTCAAATACACTTCATGTTCCAAAGTTGACTACAAATCTTATTTCTGTTAGTAGCGTTACCAAACAATTAAATTGTAGTGTAACGTTCTTTCTTTTTCATTGTATTTTTCAGGATCTGGTGTCGAAACGGACGATTGGCAGTGGGCGTGAAGTGGACGGTTTATACCTATTGGATGCTCCTTTGTCACCGCAAGCACATTCAGCTTCATTTTCTAATATTGTTTCATCTAATAAAGCCCAGTTTATGCGTTGGCACATGCGTTTAGGACATATTTCTTTTGGTTATTTGAAACATTTATTTCCTTCCTTATTTTGTAACGTGGCAGTGTCAGATTTATCCTGTGAAACATGTCATATTGCTAAACATGTTCGTTCCAATTATCCTGCTAGTAGTAATAAATCTGCTTTAACACCTTTTGATCTTGTTCATTCAGATATGTGGGGACCTTGCCCAGGTACTTCTAGTATTGGATTTCGATATTTCGTGTTGTTCATTGATGATCATAGTCGTGCTACTTGGATTTATCTTATGAAAACCAAAAATGAGGTATACACCATTTAAAAAAAATTTATGATAATGGTTCAGACTCAATTTGGTGGTACCATTAAAAAATTTCGATCTGACCAGGGTACAGAGTACACTTATGGGGAGGTACAACGGTTATGTATAGAATTTGGGATTGCGCATCAGCTGGCTAATGTTAAAACTCCTCAACAGAATGGTCGTTCTGAGAGAAAGAATCGCCACATCCTTGACTTAGCTAGAGCAATCTGCATTGGCATGAATATTCCCCAGTCATTTTGGAGAGATGCAGTTCTTACCGCTGTTTACATCATTAATAGGACTCCTTCTAGGATTCTTAACTTTGCAGCCCCACTCTCAATCTTACATCCCAATTCATCTCTATTTTTTATTCCTCCACGAGTCTTTGGGTGTGTGTGCTTTGTTCAGCAGTTAGGGCAAACTCATATAAAGCTTGACCCCAAGGCTTTGAAGTGTGTGTTTTTGGGCTATTCTCACTCTCAAAAAGGTTATAGGTGTTACCATCCTCCCAGTCGTCGGCGATTTATATCCATGGATGTTTCTTTCTTTGAGCATACACCATACTATAGTGGTTCAGTTGGTTCTCAGAGTGAATGGTTCCCATTGAATATAATG